TAGTTACGACAAGTGAAATATGGCGTCGTAATTTCACTTAGACTCTACTGCAACCACATGTTTTCCTTAACGCCCATTTAGAGAGGAAAATAATCTCAGCGTAGGAATCTCTGGCAGACTGGCTGGTGGGAATATTTATATGAGGTGTGGAAATATTTGTTTAGGCGTGGGAATATTTATAATGACGTGGGAATATTTGTAATAACGTGGGAGTATGTGTTTAAACGTGGGAATATTTATAGAACTGTGGGAATCTTTATAGAACCGTGGGAATATTTATAGAACCGTGGGAATATTAGTAGTACCGTGGAAGTCTTTATAGAACCGTGGGAATATTAGTAGAACCGTGGGAATATTTATAGAACCGTGGGAATATTTGTAGCGCCGTGGAAATATGCACTTAAGATTTCCCGTCTGTGCATGAAGGGCTTCTGACAACGTAATTTATAAAGGCAAGGGGGAACTTTATATTAGTTGTAATGTATATACTCAAGCTTATTCAGACAGGCTTCATGTTTTATGCGAAGGTAAGGAAAGAGAGAGAGAGAGAGAGAGAGAGAGAGAGAGAGAGAGAGAGAGAGAGAGAGAGAGAGAGATTAATTCCAGGTCTCTCATACCCCTAAATCAGGTGAGAAAAGCAATTACCATACACGTGTGTCTGAGTATCTGTTTACAGGTTGTATACGAGTAGCGTTGCCGTTCTTGTAATAATTCTTGTAAATGAGTTGAGGGTAGACTAACAATTACACGCTGGGGTCTAAGGTATCTCTTCCTTTACCAGTAATATGACCTGTTTTGATAATAAATTACATTTATATTATTATTACTATACTGGTAATATAATTATTGTAATCTGTTACTTTATTACAACTACCAATATTACGCCAAAGTATTAATGTACTGTACTGTACACTATTAAATTATCATTATTATTATTAATCAACTGATATGACCATAATTACGATAACAATAAATTACTATTATAAAAGTCTCTCAAAACACACACACACAGTTTATAAATGTTTTGCCCCCAATATATATATATATATATATATATATATATATATATATATATATATATATATATATATATATATATATATATATATATATATATATATATATATATATATTTTATAAGCTGACACTTAAATTTGCTCTTTGCTATTCATCTTCGAATTGACCAATAATAGCGACTTACGGTTCCGAACTAACCAATTACCGCGGCTCATGTTACCCTATCCACCAATAAAAGTGGCCCCTCATTTGTTATTTGAGGGGGTTGGGGATGCCGGATCAACTGTCCTTCCCTTCGTTAACTGCCTAATTGGTATCTGTTTACTGGATATATTGAAACAGTATAATGAAAATTACAAGTTTGTACTCAAGGGAGATGCCAACCTAAGTGACCTGAATCAGTGGTGACCTTTTGACCTTGAAAATTAAGAGAGAGAGAGAGAGAGAGAGAGAGAGAGAGAGAGGCTCCTTCTTCATCTCGAATTCGACTGCCATCTATGAACAGACACATACACCAACTACACAAGTCCCCTTATATCTCTTGCACGACGATCAGCGCCATCTATTAGTGTGGTTGTAAATTATACCTCATGGCTCCCTCGCCTCGTACAACATAATATCAGACGCTGTAACTTCACCCTGAGTTCCCGGCTGTCCAGGAAGGGGAAATGCCAATTGTGTCTGTGTCTCAGTCTGTCAGTCCGTCCGGGGGATTGTCAACACGATAACTTGAAGAAATAACAATAGATTTTAACCAAACTTGATACGTGGAGAGTGTACAGTATGTCATAACTAGGCGTCAGGGGCGTCCAATCATCAGTTTTTTATGCCAGTACTGTCAATAGTTAGGCTTTGCTGTGGTGTTTGGACTTTGCTGTGGTGTTTGGACTTTACAGTGGTGTTTGGACTTTACTGTGGTGTTTGGACTTTGCTGTGGTGTTTGGACTTTGCTGTAGGCTTTGGACTTTACAGTGGTGTTTAGACTTTACTCTGGTGTTTAGACTTTACTGTGGTGTTTAGACTTTACTGTGGTGTTTAGACTTTACTGTGGTGTTTGAACTTTACTGTGGTGTTTAGACTTTACTGTGGTGTTTGGACTTTACTGTGGTGTTTGAACTTTACTGTGGTGTTTTAACTTTACTGTGGTGTTTAGACTTTACTGTGGTGTTTAGACTTTACTGTGGTGTTTGAACTTTACTGTGGTGTTTAGACTTTACTGTGGTGTTTGAACTTTACTGTGGTGTTTGAACTTTACTGTGGTGTTTGGACTTTACTGTGGTGTTTGGGCTTTACTGTGGTGTTTGAACTTTACTGTGGTGTTTTTACTGTGGTGTTTAGACTTTACTGTGGTGTTTGAACTTTACTGTGGTGTTTGAACTTTACTGTGGTGTTTGAACTTTACTGTGGTGTTTGTTTACTGTGGTGTTTGACTTTACTGTGGTGTTTAGACTTTACTGTGGTGTTTGAACTTTACTGTGGTGTTTAGACTTTACTGTGGTGTTTAGACTTTACTGTGGTGTTTGAACTTTACTGTGGTGTTTAGACTTTACTGTGGTGTTTAGACTTTACTGTGGTGTTTGAACTTTACTGTGGTGTTTAAACTTTACTGTGGTGTTTAGACTTTACTGTGGTGTTTGAACTCTACTGTGGTGTTTAAACTTTACTGTGGCGTTTTGACCTTACTGTGGTGTTCGGACTTTACTGTGGCGTTTTGACCTTACTGTGGTGTTCGGAACGAGGATGAACCCCAAAAAAGTAAACCAAACCAAGAAACACAACATTAACACCCAAAGTACTGAGTTAGATGCCAACGACTGTTCTTCTTTGTTGATCTTGCCGACACGGGGTGGAGAAAATCCTGTTTAGAATTCTTGCCTTTTGATCTGTAAATCCAATTTTAATAATAGGTCAGGTTGCCTCTCTGTTTGAGTTAATAATCTGACTGGGTTTTTCTCTGTGTGTGAGAGAAAGAGAGAGAGAGAGAGAGAGAGAGAGAGAGAGAGAGAGAGAGAGAGAGAGAGACGTTGATGATAATACTTTCTTACCTCATAACAACAACTAAGGTCTTTAATCACGGGACAAAGTTAGTAATTAAACCAGTCTATCAGTAAACTGTACAAGACAATTCTCACTAATTAATTACCATCTTGACTATTGATTAGAAACTATAGATCGCTGCGTTGGGATAATTAATCACCTAACCTAACCTAACCTAACCTAACCTAACCTTCTACAACTTGTCAAGAAAAAAAAAGTCGTGTCATTCTTTCGTCCCATTCGTGAACCCTGAGATTCATGAATTTGTGAATCCGAAACATCACACGAACCCAGTGGCCTAAAATTGTGTTGATGTATCGGATTCACAGGTTCATGAGTCTTAGGTCGTACGATTGACAGGACTTTGGTGAATCGTTTTGAAGCCTCAACATGAAAATCCAGTTTCGATATTGTGAACTTAACAAACACAAAAACAAAAACAAAAGAAAGAAAGAAAGATAGAAAGAAAGAAAGAAAGAAAGAAAGAAAGAAAAGAAAACTATGTCTCGCTTTCCTTCAGCACACGACGACAATAATTTCCCAGGCACAAAAATCTTTCTCTGTTTTGTGTATATATTTTTTCGCCACAGCAAACCTTACACAGTGGACAGGTGACAAGTAACGACAATTTGTATAATAGACTAGACGCCAGCCACCAAGAGACCGATTGTTCTTATCATGTGTTGTGGGTTTAGGACACAACAGGCGATAGCGTGTCGTTAGGTCACACTAAACTGGTGGTCGCTGAGTGCCAATATAACCTGAGCACTGAGGAAATAGTTGATCATTAAATTCTATCTATCTATCTATCTATCTATCTAAAGACAAGACCAGGAAATAACAAGGAAGAATGGAGCAAGGCAAAGTTTATGAAGCAACAGGAAGTAACTACGATGACAAGCAGCGACACACACACACACGGAAGGAAGATGTTTTTCAGCAGGTAATCCGCTATGTACTGTACGTCGTAATTTAGTTGACTGGTTGTAATTAATTCAGATAAAAGCTCTTATAGCGAATGAAGTGTGGGTGTAATTAATTGACTTAAGCATAATGCGGGTTAATAATTATATTGATTTAGTTTAATGAATAGAGAGTGAGTTATTTAATTTGGTTATAAAAATGATTTCCGATTTATCATCGCATGGAGAAATATATATATATATATATATATATATATATATATATATATATATATATATATATATATATATATATATATATATATATATATATATATATATATAATCGCCCCGAGGATATAGTTAATTATAGATTGTTTAATTATGTAAACTAAGGAACTCTGAGGAGATTATATATTCATACGAATATATGATCACCTGAAACAAAAAGTAATTAATGAGTATAATCAGTTAATTAAAACCAATGTGAGGGGAGATGATTGTGAATAATTCCAATTAATTATCGAAAAGTTACTCAAGAATGGATTTACATGTTAAACAGAAGCCGCAGGGATTACGAAACAGTAAATGTTTACGAGGAATTTTCCATATATTAATTCCTTTAAAGTGAGACAACGCTCCATAGAACAGGGTAGAGTCTCCGAGTAAAATAGAATCCATTTTTAAAACTATATTTTTAGGCGTAGTTTAACTGTTGCAACTTCAAATAGGATAAAAAATATTGTCGTAAGTGTCTTTAATAATCTTTGGGCAGTAACTTTGTGTTGTTTAGTTACGAAAATCTTATCTAAGTTTAGTTTACCTTGATAGTTGTTGTTAGGATGGCTGTTTTATACAAGAAGTTCCCGGACTTTGGTATTAAATTCAAATACTGTACCTTTTAAATAATTCTTGATTTTATTTTTATTATTATTATTATTATTATTATTATTATTATTATTATTATTATTATTATTATTATTATCATCATTGTCACAAGTATGTAAATTATTAACACTATAACTCTCACTCTACTGTACTTACCTCACCGGACGAAAATAAATATATGTTGTGGTAATTATTTGTCGCTTTTCTTCTTTTTCTTCTCTTTATCTTCTTTCAGTTATCACGTAATTATCATCAGTTTCCTCTAATTTATCAAACTTTTTCCCCCAGTCAATGAGGAATATTAATGGTCCGGTTACTCACACAATATAATATAAATATTCTTTATTTCACTTTATTTCCTGAATCACAAACCAACATCATAGTCGACGTTTTTGGTCATATCAATTTTCAGTCCCCAACTTTTCCTGGTCTTCCACGCAGTACAAGAAGAGTGTAAAAAGTTTTGAAGAATTATTCGTTTTTCCCGATTTTCATTACTTTCTTTTCCATTTTAAGTAAATCGATGGAATTAAACATAGACATTCTTTATATATAAATATATACTTACATAAAATACTGCCGCAATTCCCGATTAAAAAAAAATATTTTACCTCGTGTTAAATCCAACTCCAGAAAAAAAAAATAATTTACCATTGACGTTCAAGACTGTATTTACGATCTAGATTTATCCTCAATACAAAATCTCAACCCTTCGGAGGATTTTATATTAATATATATATACAGTAGGATCACTAAGGTCAAGGTGAGGCCAGTGTAGCGCGGTAGACGGAAACGGAGGGACGACGCAGCCTGACCTCCCACTACAAGGAGCGAGAACCAACTTGTCGGTGATCTGGCTGCCACACACACACACACTCTCTCTCTCTCCCTCTCTCTCTCTCTCTCTCTCTTTCTCTGCCTGGCTGTGGTGATGGGGAGCTGCCAGGGGTCGCTGTATACTTCAACCACACCATCCACGTACCGCCAACGATAAATTTTGGTGGTTGGTGTACGGGTGTGGGGATTGTGGAGGGGGGGAGGGGTGTGGGTGTTTTGTGGGATGAATGAGTGTTTGTGAGTGTAACGATGTGTAGATACTGGAGGTGTTTTGTATGCGTAGGGAGGAGAAGGAGGTGGGGTGTTGAATGGGTGGTTGTGGGTGTATTTTAGGGAAGTGTAATTTTAGGTGTGTATGTGGGAAGTAGTATAGGTAGCGAGTGTAAGTGCTGAATGAGTGTACTTGGGGTGATTATGGCTGGGTGATATCACATAGGTACGGAAATCCTCTAAATAACGTCGGGAATAAGGGTGAAAATCGTGAGTGTGTGGATAGATAAATGACACCACGCGATAAAAATGGGAAATAGAAGCAAAGGAGAAAATAAATGGAAACGGGGAGGAGAGATCAGCAGAAGGAAGGGGAGATAATCGAAATAAATAGGAAGGTGTATGAAGTGGATGTGGTAAAGGGGACGACCTGCCCTATATCAAGTGGTCCAGACCAGTCGGGCAAGTGGTTAGTTAGGGGGCAAGTGGTCACCGAGTAAGAGCAAGTGGTTAAATAAGTGAAAGCAGTTAATTAGAGTTAGTAACTAAATACAACAAGTGGACATGAAAAGGCAAGTGGTTCGATTATCTTGAATTCCCTTTAAACAGACTTCGATCCTCTCTAGCCACTCTTCCTGAAAACTCGCTCAACCCTCATTTACATTAGACACGATTTTTTCTATTCCTGTACCTCGCTTCCAGCCGTATCAGTGCCTAAATAAACCCAGTCCACGATATATATAGGTACCTCAACCCATTTAAGAAATAGGTAAATAAACGAAGGATTTATTTCGTTTTCATCTCGTTCGGTTTGACAAAGACGAGGACAAAGGCAAAAGTATTTGTTCTAAGATTCAAGGATTAGTTCAGCTTATCGACTCATCGTAGATATGTGGGGTTTACCTGTGGCCACACCTGTCTATGAGGTACCTTGGGAACTTTTAGTGAACTGTTGGTATTGTGAACAGGGGAAGTGTTCGTTCCTTGGGTGTGTGTGTGTGTGTGTGTGTGTGAGAAGATAAACCCATCCACACACGCACACACACGAGACAAATCCCTTTAAGGATTAACAGCTTAAGTGTAATTGCGCCTTTGTCACACTACTCAGTGGACTACGCTAGCTTGTATTATACGCCACTCATACTACTAAGACGTCGTACCTGAGAGCTAAAGAGTCTACCTGGACCATGCAGCTAATGCAACTCTTAATATTTTCATGCTATTAATCATAAAATAACAACAACAACGATCAACTGTACGAAATTAATTAAATATAAACAAATCCCATTGAAAAAAAAATTAATCTCTTCCTGTTTCCTAGATTCGTGAGATAATGTAACAGGTGAAGTTTAATTAGTTACCTTTTCTATGTTACAGTTAGGGTAACAAAAAGTAATTAAGTTATATCACTAAAATGATCAGGTGTTATGGTAAGGTAATTAACTGCATGATTATTTTTCTTATTTTTTTTCACCTCCAGAGCAAAATCTTGGAATAAATATGATAGATGCCGAGAGAGAGAAAAAAATACAGAGAGAGAGAGAGAGAGAGAGAGAGAGAGAGAGAGAGAGAGTCGTCTAATCTTTCTCTCCCATCTCTCTAAGTATTTACAAGTCAAACCATCATCCAAATTTATGCACAGAGACAGAACGCCCGACGCTAATTCAATAAACAGTCCAGTCAACTGCCATTGTATAAGATTAAAGAGACAGACAGACAGACAGACAGACCGACAGACAGACAGATAGACAGACAGACACTCTCACATTACACTTATCATCTCTGGTAAAGTTAGGTTACATTAAATAAGGTTTAGATTAAATTAGGTTAAATTAGATAAAGTTAGGTTAGTGAAGTAAAGTTGAGTTAAATTAGGCTAGGTTAGGTTATTATTAAGTTAGGTTAAGTAAGGTTAAGTTATATTATATTAAGTTAGGTTAAGTAAGATTGGGTTAGGTTAGGTTTAGGTTGCTTCCATTTGCTTCTTAAGTTCTGCTTCATAAATAAGTTTCAACACGTAGGATCTACATAAATTTTTAACCCTTACTCAGAAAACTATAAATTTCACCCCCCAAAAAATAGAAAATTATTACCAACAAAATATTTTACTCCCTTGACGAAAACAAAACAAAAAACAAAAGACTTTAACTCCCTTCAAAAAAATTAAAACAAAAAGATATAATTTATCAACAAGAGAAAACCTCGAATAACACCACAAAAAGAATAATTAATTACCCACAATCAACGCGTTATTATTCTTCACTGTCATGACGGCTGATATTGATGTTTTGAGTCGTTATATACACCAATTAACACACCTCAGATATATTGCCAATTAAAATCGATCAAACAAACTGTCAGGAACCAGTCATATGTACTCGGGAATATGGATGAATCAGTACGAACGAAAACGAACCCCCCCCCCCCCCCAAAAAACCCACCAATATCAATAACAAAGACCGTATGTTTGTATGTTTTTTCTTTGGTATATTGTGTATGTTCGTGTATCATCTGTATAGGTGAGGTTGGGGTGTATACGTTATCACCTCATTCATGACTCATACAATATCATCATCCGGGTCATGACTCATACAGCATATTAAGACCACCACATTCATGAATCACTGAGTCACCACCGCATTCCTGACTCATCTCCTCCATTGAACAACAAGACGCAATGGAACTGGTATAGTTTTAACCAAAATAATACACTAACATTAACTTCTACCAAAAAAATTAATTACTTTAAATTAACCTTACCTGAGTTAGCTGGGTTAAAGTATTCGTAAAAAATACTGAACTTGATTGAAACGAGTCTCGATTTCATACACTAAGATATCAATTCATTCTTCCAAACACTTTTATTGTTATTCACATTATATCAGTGTTACGTTAGATCTCTCTCCCTCCCCTGTGAGATGAGGTTCTACTCTTTCTACCTTTTTTTTTTTTAGTGGTACAGGTAATTAATTAATTAGTAGGCAGCGGCACCTCCTACCTCACCTGACTATGATTCAGTAACACGCCTTGGGTAGTCTCATTATGAACTCGCACTCTATTATATCTTGTCACTCATTAAAGGAGAACCGTCCACTCGTAACCACTCCTTGTCACTCATTAAAGGACAACCCTCCACTCGTAACCACTCACTGAAGGACGACCATCCACTCACACTCGGGGCTATCGAGACACTGAACACCATTCTGACGTGTCCGCCACACATCACCTCCGGCTTAATTACCCAACGACCGCATTAACAGTTTCGCTCACGCTAAACAACCAATTATGATGTTCCGGTGGTTTGTGTAAATTTTGTTTTGTTTCAGCCAGATGGTGTGTGTGTGTGTGAGTGTGTGTGTGTGTGTGTGTGTTTACCTCGGTCTTTTCAGCTCAAATAAATCAAACAACTTCATTTTTGGATCGAATTGAAACTTGGTAACCTTCATCCACACACACACACACACACACACACACACACACACACACACACAAACACACACACACACACACACACACATATATATAATGAAAAAGAAAAACTACCTGTTGCTAAATTTTGTGTTTCTGTCGAGGTGAATCAACCAATGTTAAAGCGCCAGGCTCTCGTAATGTGTTGCGCTGGAGAAGAAATAATCTTTTACAGTTAAATAGACAGACAGACAGAGAGACAGACAGACAGACATGATAGGCAGACAAAAAGATAAACAGACAGGAAAAACAGGCAGACGTAGACAGAAAGACATGAAGGCAGACATATAGATAGACAGACAAACAGATAAACAGGAGGACGCAGACAGGAAGACATTAACGCAGACATACAAACACAGACAGAACCCAAACAGGCAAAAAGACAGAGACAGAAAAAAACGGAAAGCCAAACAGATGGACAATCACTCACCCCTTGTTACGAAAAATTAAAAACCTAACTATACACACAACTAAACTACCTTTAACAGCTCACAGAACAAGCTCGTTAGGCATCTCAAGTATGTTAAGCTTATCGTGTATTTACCAAACAAGAAACACGTGGAGTGAGAATTATCCTACATATCTATTCACTGTTGTTAGTATGTCTTAAATGTTTACTTTTTATCTTCACTACATTCTTATCTTTCTTTCTTTCTTTCTTTCTTTCTTTCTTTCTTTCTTTCTTTCTTTCTTTCTTTCTTGCTGTACGTGGGAAATTTCCATAAAACATAATTCAAGACACTAAATAAATGTAAATCAGTACTACGGAAAAGTCAAAGAAGTTCCCACGAAAATCTTTAAAGACATTTCGAGATACTTGACTACCTCCCCCGCGCCCCCCCTGCCCCCCCCCCCCTGCCCCTGCCCTGCCCCCCTGCCCTGCCCCCGCCCGCCCCCAAATAAATAATAAAAAATAATACTTGCTCGAGTTCAGCATTTTGAAAGTTTGTCCTTCCTGAAGATACTGAGTGAGGTTTTCTATTGTGTATTACGGGAGTATTGTTGAACTGAGAGAACTAGAGAGAGAGAGAGAGAGAGAGAGACAGACAGACAGACAGATAGACAGACAGACAGACAGCCAGATAGAGGATTATAAATGGTAGACAATGTTCTTCACCACCATCATCAACCACCACGAACCTCACAACCATCCACCACCATACCCTCAACCATCCACCACAATCCACTCAACCATCCCCATCAACCATCCACCACCATCATCCACTCTCCTACCCAGCACACACACATCCTAATCCCATTTCATCCCATTTGAGGGTCAGGGACACTTCAAACTCCACACTGCCTGGAAGAT